CCCCCAGCTCTCGACCCTCTTTTTGCGCGCCCTGTATTTCTACACGCCACCTCATCCAACAACCACCCAAGGTTCGATACGACACGATCGACGTCATCCTTGACCTACCCGATTCAAACGCGAGAGGGAGAGAGAGAGGAAGAGGAGAGAGAGAGCGGGATGCGCGCTATGCAAGCGTGGGGCATCGACGTCGACGACGCAAGGCGTACAGTAGTTGCGCGCGTGCGTGGCGCGCGGTAGAACGAGAGATTACTGTGACAAGGGGGGATAGGGGGACAAGGCAGACGGGCAAGAAAAGAGGCGAGGCGGGGCGGGGCAGGGCGGGGCGGGGCGAGGCGAAGTGGCGTGGTATGGGTGCGGTGGAGAAAAGGAGCGGTACAATCGACAGGGGAAGAGATGACAAGAGGGAGAGCGCGAGAGCGCGGGCACGAGGGCAGCGGGGTGAAGCCTCTCTCGACGCCACGCCCAGGGTGACGGGCAAGCGCGGGACGGGTGCAGGGCAGGGCCGGGAAAAAGCGAGCCGCCCCATCGCCAGCGCGCCACTTACTGCATGTCGGACTCTGCGATAATCTCCTGGATCTTTCTCGCCAGGCTGGAAATCTCGCCCTCGGCGCCCTGGCCGTCTTCGCTGCCGTCGACGTCTGCGCTCTCGTCGCCGCTGTGGCCGTTTGCCGAGGCGGGGGCGGCGTGCGAGAGCTGCGCAATGAGCGGGAGGAGCTGGTCGCTGCTGCGGATGTTTTCCTCGAGCTGGGCGTCGCCGCTCTCGAGGAGCTGGACAATGGTCCAGACGGCAATGTGCTGGAAGGTCGAGTCCTGCGACTCGAGGAAGCGCACCAGGTAGCCGTGCAGGCCGCCCTCGGGGCTCGACCAGACGGCGTTGAAGGGGGCGTAGTCGTCCGACTTGGACGAGAGGTTGCCCAGCGCCGCCGCCGAGTTGCCCTGCACCTCGATCGACGACGAGGCCGTGAGCGGGATGAGGACCTCGCAGATGCCCATCTCGAGCAGCTGCGGCTTGAGGTCCTCGGAGAGGGCCAGCACGGCGGCGCACGCCGTCATCTCGCTCTGGACGCTCAGCGGCACGTTGAGCACCAGCTCCTTGATCCGCTCGACGGCGCCGGCCTCGACAATGGCCGTCTTGTTGCGCTCGCTGCTGGCGGCCAGGTTGCGCAGCGTGCTGATGGCGTGGCACTGGATCTCCTCGTTGTCCTCGTGGCTCAGCAGGTCGATCAAGGGGTGGAGGAAGCCGGCGTCGATGATGGGCGACTCGTTCATGGGGTGGATCGAGACGTTGCGCACGCACGCCGCCGCCGAGAGGATGAGGGGCAGGAACGACGAGCGGAGCAGCCGGAGCAGCGGCGGCAGGCCGCCGCTGCGCACAATCTCGATCTGGTACTTTTCGTCCGAGGCCAGGTTGCGCAGCGCCAGGGCCGACTGGCACTGGACCTTGAGGCTGGAGCTCTCCATGAGGCCGATGAGGTTCTGGACCAGGCGGGGCTCGGTCTGGGCGAGCTTCTTGCGGTTTGCGCTGTCGACGGCGATGTTGGAGAGGGCGGTGGTGCAGTAGTACTGGACGTCGGTGTCGGAGCTGCCGAGAAGGCCGACGAGGACGGGTATGGCGCCGGCGTTGACCAGCTGCTGGCGGTTCTCGTCGCTGTGGGTCATGTTGAGGAGGGCGCCGGTGGCGTTGCGCTGCACGCGCTGGTCCTTTGAGCGGGCGAGGCGGGTGAGGGGGACGAGGGCGCCCGACTTTGCAATCTTTGTCTTGTTGTCGTCGTGGGTGGCGAGGTTGGTGATGCAGCCGACGGCGTTGCACTGGACCTCGACGTTTGGGCTGAGCATCTGGCGGATGAGGGGCTCGAGGCCGCCGAGCTTGACGATGAGGAGCTTGTTTTCGGCGTTGACGGCGAGGTTTCCGAGGGCTGCGCTGGCGGCGCGCTGCACCTCTACGTCGTGGCTCTGGAGGAGGAACATGATGGGTTCGAGGGTGTCGCGGCCCACCTCGCGCACCTCTTTTTCAGTGATTTCGGCAAAGGCGAGCGCGGCGCTCCTCTGGAGGTCGACATTGTCGCTGAAGGAGAGCGTCGAGAGGGAGCGGAGCGGGTCGCCGGTGAAGAAGTTGGTCTCGGAGCGGTCTGCCGGGCGGGGACGACGCCGGAGGGGAGGGACCAAGGAGGGGAGAGAATGGATAGAGAGCGGAGCGTGTCAGCTATGTGGCGGCAGGCCAGACGAGAGGGCCAGGCAGAGGAAGCGCGACGCACTCTCGAGGTACTGGAGGAGGTCTGCTACGGCGTCGCGCTCATTGTCGAGGAGGAGGGGTTCGTAGTTTGCGTTCCTCGACTTTGCGCACCCGCAGCAGCTGCTGCAAGCGTTGCCCATCGCTGCTGAGTGTTGCGGGTGCGGTTGGTGGACGACGGGCGCGCTCTAGGCAGGCAGGCAGGCGGGCAGGAGAAGCGAGGGCGGGAGGTGTGAATGGTATCCGAGGGGGAGATGCTAGGTGGATACGCTGCGCCGAGGGGGAGGGAGCGAGACGGTGGTGAAGGCAAGAGGTATGGATGAGAGGAACGGGAGCGGGCACAGCGATGAGCCGCGGGCGTGCTGTGCAAACGAAGGTGGGTGCGAGGGGCGGGTGGGTTGTGGTGCTGATTGAGCGCGGGGCGGTGGGGAAGCAAGAAGCGAGTCGGTGCGTTGTGGGTGAGGTGGGGAGCGCTGTGTAAGATGGGGGACAGGTGTAGGAGCCAAGGCGAGATGGCGACGACGAGGGATGGGGTACGGTGTGGGCCGAGGGATGGAGAGGCGCCGACGGAGAGAGAGGGTGCAGGCCAGGCGGGGCCAGGGCAAGCCAGGCGAGGGTCAAGTGTGGAGCGAGGGGCGAGGCTAGAGGGGCGAGGCTAGAGGCAGGGGCGGCCGCGTGTGGGCCGAGTCAAAAGAGGCGCGGGCGGGGCCGTTGGTCGATGCCAGAGGGCCAGGGCCAGGGCCAGGGCCAGGGCCAGGGCCAGGGCCAGCCGGGTTGGCAGCCAGGCAGAGGGCTGCGCCCGTTGGTGATCAAATTTGCCAGGCAGGCAAGCTGGGGCCAAGGCAGGGGCAGGCAGAGGCAGGGTTGGCCTGGGCTTGGGCTTGGATGGCGCGTGCCCTCTCTGCCTGGGCTTGGCCTGGCCTGGCCTGGCCTGCAATTCTGCACGCCGCGGCCTCAGGGGCTGCTTGGGCGTTGGCAGGCTGGCAGGCTGGCAGGCTGGCAGGCTGGCCGGCACTCGGGCTGGCTCGCTCTTTACCTGCGCGCAGCCAACAGCCAGGCAGGCAGGCAGGCATGTGGAGTTTGCACCAACACCGACCCACCCGCCGCCTCGACCAACCAACACCGCACCGACCCTCGTCCCTCGACCCTGCCTGCCTTTCCACCCAGGCACACGCACACGCACAGCACGCGCGCTACACCATCATCGAGCTGGCCAGTCCTGTAGTGGCATCGTAAGGTGTGCAGTGCAATCTAGAGCAATGTCCAGCAGAGTATATCGTAGCAGCCAAGAGCAGAGCCAGCGTGCAGAGACAGCGCCGTCACGTCGCGCCCGGTTGTGGATCGCTCCAGGCGGCCTCGTCGGCCAGCGTCGCCGTCGCCGCGCGCGTATAGTCGCCAGCGGTGCCATCGGCCGCCGTGAAGGCCAGACGCAGGTAGTGGCGTCCCTCGCGCAGCGTCGCGTTCAACGACGCCGTCGGCGCCGATCCCGCTCCCAATCCCGCATCGTCGTCGCCCTCCTGGCCCTCGCGTCGACGCTGCTGCGCAAACAGGTCCGGTAGCGACGACAGGTTAAACGTCGTACCGGCACCCTGGTACCGCAGCACGTCGTCGACGAGCAGGTTAAAGCCGCTCCACTGCCCGCGCTCCTCGTCGCCCTCCAGGCCAGCCCACTCGACCACGCCCCCCGCCCGCGGCCAGCCCGTCGAGTTCGTCAGGAACCGCGGCTGTCCCGTCCCGCCCGTCGCATCGCCCCGCACCGTCGCCACGTCCTGCAGCAACCCGTCAAACCCCCACCGCGCGATGCCGTTGGTGTACATGCCCAGCAGAAACGCCGTCGCCAGCAGCGACAGACGCGTCGGAAACGCGCACGCCGGCACCAGCACCAGCGCGATAATGTAGTGGTGCATCCGCAGCGTCTCGCCCGGCACCGCCGCCGCCAACCCGACCAGCGCCGCCCCCACCAGGTACAGGACGAGGTACTTGGGCAGGTACCCCATCCGCCGGATCACCAGCACCTGGTGCACGGCCAGCGCCAGAACCACCACGACGATGACGACCAGCGCCGTCACCGCGCCCGGCTGCTGCCCAATGTCGTGCGCCGTCAGCCGCTGCAGCGGCACCCCAGCGAAGACGACGTTCATCAGCACCCCAACCCACCACAGCCCCAGCGTACCCACCCCTCCCTCGAGCGGCAGACCCTCAAAGGCCGGCCACACGTACCGCACCGCCACCCGCCAGATGACGTAGCACCCGAACAGGTACGGCAGCAGGTCGCCCACCGCCTCGCCCACCGGAGGCGGGTAGTCGCGCGGCTCCGACGCCATGTTGACGTGCCAGAAGCCCAGGCAGGCCAGCGTCCAGAACCACACCATCCGCTTCGGGCGCAGCACCAGCCCCACAAACGCCGACAGCACCACGTCGAGCGCGTACAGCCGCCACCGCCGATCGGTGCAGTCGACCGCCTCGGACGTCGCCTCGAACCGGAAGCTCGACGGGAACGTGCCGTCAAACCCGACCGACTCGATGCCGTTGGACGTCGAGTTGGCGTAACCCGACCACGCGCCCACCAGCCGCACGCTGCCCGCCCCGCCCTCCGACTCGCGGATGACGCCCGCGTGGATGGCGGCGGCGCAGACAAACGAGTCGGAGCGGTACGTCTTGGCCTCGTCGCCGCCCCCTACGACCAGCGGCACGTAGTTGACCTGCTCGTCGCCAACGGTACGTGGGTTGAGCAGCGTCACGCCCGAGCACCCGCTCGGACACCGGAACGCCACCCCGGCGCTGTCGGCCGGCGTGCTGAAGGGCGAGCAGTCCTGCCCGTCGAGCCCGCACCCGCCGTTGCGCAGCCAGTAGGTCGTCGTGCACGAGAAAAACGTGGGATCCCGCGCGATGCCGTCCGGTCCCGTGATCGAGCCGTTGAACCACAGCCCCTCGGTCAGGAAGCTGAAGCCCAGGATCCACGCGACGTACGTGGCGCACAGGACGCTCCAGTGGATGCGGTTCGTAGAAAGGTCCCTGCGGATCGGCTCGAACCAGGCCAGACCGAGGCGGGGCGGCTGCCCCTTGCGAGCCTGCGGCTCGTCGGGTGTCGACGGACCGCGAGGGCCGGGCAGCGCGACCGAAACACCGTCATCGTCGTCGCCGTCGCCGTAGCCGCTGCCGTAGCCGCGTCGGTATCCCTGCCCTGCAAAGGGATCCTTCCACGCGACCGGATCCGTAAACTTGAGCCAGAAGTGCTCCAGGGGCCCAAGGGGCCACCAGCGGTAGTGTCGGATCCTCGGCGCGACGGGGTGCCTGGGCCCGGCGATCCAGTCCTTGGCTCTGGCGCCGAAACCCTTCTTGCGCGTGCCGGGGGACGGCGCGCCTGCGCCCATCGCCGCACCCGCACCGATGCCGAAGCCGATGGCCAGGGCGGTGGTCTCGTCGCCGCTGACGGTCGACATGCTGCCGCTCTTGTCCCTCACGGGCAGCGGCCGCCCGCGATGCCGCGACTCGTTTGGCTCGGCGAGGTCAAAAAAAGACTTGGATCCCAGATCGCCGCCCCCCGACGCTGCGTCCGTGTGCTTGCGCGATCCCTCGGCCGCAGACGTCGACGCTCCGTCTCGAGGCGCCGCGCGACTGAGCGTGGGCAGCTCGATGCCGTACACGCTCTCGAAGCCCTCGCTCTGGCTCTGGCCCTGGCCATGGCCATTGGGTGGATTGCTGTCCGACTTCTCCTGGATCCCATCTGGCGGCGTTTCGCTCTTCGGCGTGCCCAAGCCGCCAGGGAAGCCGGCGAGCACCTCCCGCCACGGCGGCGCTTCCGACGTCATCCGCATCTGCTCGGACAGGGAGCGAGGGTGAAGCAGGAGGAAGCACGCCTCGTACGTGGCCTTGGGGTCGAAGAGGGCGCCGACGTCCTGCGCGTCGGCCTGGTCGAGGATGGCCTGCGTCTTGGCCGAGTAGGGCCGCCGGTTCATCTCCTTGAGCAGCCACTGCACGCTCTCGAGGTTCGAGGTGAGGGTCGTCATGCCGTACCGCGCGCACGCGTGCATCGAGCGCAGCGTCGTGTATGTCTGCCCGCCGGCCTGATGGACCGAGTGCTGCTTGAGCCGCTTGTACTTGCTCCGCGGCAGGTCCTCGGAGATGTCGCGCCACTCGGGCCCCCACAGCTCCGTCAGGCAGCTCTCGAGCGTGTCGAGGAGGTGCGAGACAAAGTGGCGCCGCGCCAGGTCCGGGTACAGCTGGCTCAGCTCCTCGATCGAGTCGAGTCCGCCGGGCCCGAGGTCCGAGAGCGGACGCACCGGCAGCTGCAGGCAGGCGCGCAGCTGGGCGTGCTCCGGGCTCGCCCACTTGGAGCCGCGCCAGAACTCGTCCGGCGGCACGCCGTCGTCGCCGAGCAGCGCCGCCACCCTCCGCTTCTCGTTGGTGCCGCCGACCGTGGAGCTGACGCGGCGCAGGCGGTCAAAGGCGCCTACGGTGGCGTGCAGCTCGACCTTGCGCGGCTGCCCCGCAGAGTCGCCCCTGCCACCTCCCAGGATCGGCTCGAGGATGGCGTCAAAGAGGGTCTCGAGCGTGAGCTCCCGCTCGAGCTGGATCGCCAACGCACGCCCCTCCTTGGACGCGGCGCTGTCCATTGCCCTGGCCGCCTCCTCGGACTTGTCGTCCTGCAGCGACAGCTCGGCAGCCCGCGCCTCGAGCGCCTCTTTGCGGATGGAAAACGTCCGAAAGTGCCGCTGAAACGTCGGATCGGCCTCGTTGTCGGCGTCGAGGCTCCGGACGCGCTTGGACGACGAGCAAGGCCCACCCTCGCCGGCGACGCCTTCGTCGTCAAAGATGCCGTGGGTCGTGTCGCTGACCAGCGCGATGGCCGCCGTGACGTCGAGGTTGATCCGCCGCGTCGTCTTCCAGTCTGGCCGCGGTGGCGGTGCGGGGATCTGGGGAAGGCCGACGGGCAGGTCGGACCCCTGGAGGAAGACGGATGGATACTCGAAGCGGCCAAACGTCTCGGTCGGGAGGCGCCGGAAGCCGGTGACGATGGTGACGCCCATCCTCTTGGCCGCGCGCAGAATGGCGCGCATCCGTGCCTGGAAGCGGCTCGCCTCGTCCTGCTGGTAGAAGGGCGTATCGCTGGCGTCTTTGGCTAAAGGTGTCGTCGGCTCTGGTTCGATGTCGATGCGGGTGATGATGAGCTCGATCTCGATGGGTCGGAAGATGTCTGGGCGGCCGGACTCTGCGGAGCGCTGCAGGCGTGCCTGTGCCTCGGTGTCGGCGGCGGCCCTGAGCTCGCGGATCGTCTTCATCAGGCTGCAGTTGCGAGCGGCCGAGTCCATTGCGGGGTCGTCGTCGTAGTCGTCGCCGTCGTCGTCGCCGTCCTTCTCCCCCACCACCTTGTCGTTGTTGCCAGCACCGCCGTCACCGCGGTCAAGGGCACCGTCTTGCGCATTGGCACCTGCCGGTCCGGCACCTGGGTCGTCGCCATCGTCGTCGTCGTCGTCGTCATCGCTGGCCACCATGTAGCTCTCTGCCTCCCTGAACTCGGCCCTGAGCCTCTCGAACTTGACAATGTAGAGGCGGGTCCAGCGGTCCCCGCCGCGGGATACGATGTCGACCTTGCAGCTCTGGCTGTTCATCGCCTTTGCCTGGCTCCTCTGCATGCGCTTCTTGCGGCGGACGGCGAGGTCCATGTCGAACGAGAAGCGGTCCTGGATGGATACGACGGGACCCGAGGTGAGGGCGACGTAGAGGATCTCCTCCCAGTAGTGGATGTGGTGCGGGCCGTTGGAGAAGGGGTGCGGGTCCTGCCAGTTGCCGTTTTCTGCGGCAATCTTTTCGAGGGTGAGGAGCTCGGCGTCGATCTGGTTGCGGAGGACGGTGAGGCCCTTTATGGCGGTTGATGCGAATGCCCTGGTGCGGTGCTCGTCCCAGCGCGGACCGGCAATGGGGCAGTAGGCCCTTGCCAGGGTCTCTGCGTCCGGGTGGAAGGCGGGCCGCCTGGTCGCGGAGCCCGAGGCTGGGCTGGCTGGGCCGTCGTCATGTTGGTGGTGGTGGTGGTGGTGGCGATCTGGGCGGAGCGAGGGAGCGGTGCTGTAGGCGGGTGCCTGAGTTAGCCATGTGCGGTAGTTTGTGGAAAAGTGCTCGATTGACTGGCGCACGACGTCGAGGGCATCGCGCAGCCGCTCTGCCGGGATGAGGGGTGCGGGCATGGTGCCGGAGTGGCCGTGTGCGGGGCCGGGGGCCGAGGGATGGGGACGCAGGCGCGAACGGTTCGCCGTGGAAGCGCGCGCGAGGATGAGATGGAGCAACGATCAGCAGAGCAGCAGAGCAGCGTCGGTGGCGGTGGCGGTGGTGAGCGGGGGGTTGGCGGTGGTGGGTACTGTAACTATCGGAAGACGACGCCTGCTGCCAACGTCAGCCGAGCCTCGCCCTCGACGGGGAAAAGGGCTTCGGATCGAGTAATCCCGGCGGCCGGCCGAGGCTGTCGTGTCGGTCTGCCTCTGCCCGTGCGTCTTCTTGGCGCCCTGGCCCGACCTCAGATGTGGAGCAGCGGCGCAAAGGGGAAAAAGGCCAACCAAGGCTCAAAAGCCAGCCAGGCCAGGGGCGCTTCCTCGCCGTCGCTCTCGCTGTCGCTGCAGCCGTCAACCGCCAATCGCCAACCGCCAACCGCCAACCGCCAGCCGCCAGCCGCCAACCCCCTCGAGCAGCCAGCGATGGCCTCGACGAGCGGCATCCTCTTCTCCCATCTCTCGAGCACAAGCACAGACGCGATCTCGTTTTTGGGCATTGGTATACGATTAGCAGCAGCGATGCAGCAAGTGTGCACGCAGAGCAGCGTGAAGCACACGGATTACAGGATGGCACCCCCGGGGGGCACATGCCATGTCTATGATGATGCGGGGCGAGGGCAGCGAAGCCATGTCTATATGTGATGCTGGGAGGCGAGCGCGAGGGCGAGGGCGAGAGCGCAGTCGAGGGCTACAGGAGGGACCCACCGGGGACCGCCTCAGAGGTTGGCGCTGCCGCCATTCTTCTGCGACGTGAGGACGAAGCGGTAGCGCACGTCGCCCTTCTGCAGCCTCTCGACGGCCGTGTTGAGGCCCTCCTGGGTCATGGGCAGCTCCTCGACCATGGGCTTGACGCCCAGCCTCGCCGCAAACTCGAGCATCTCGCGGTGCACGTTGCGCGGCGCCACGAGCGAGCCCATGATGCGCAGCTGCTTGCCCACAATGGGCATGTAGGGGATCTCCATCTTGCCCGCGTCGACCGACAGCGGCACAATGGTGCCGTTCTTTTCGACGACGTTGACGTAGGTGGACCAGTCCGGCTGGGCGCTCGTCGCCACAAAGAGGAAGTCGACCGGCTTGACGCCCTCGAGCTTGGGGTTGGTCTTGGCCGCCACGAATTCCGAGGCGCCCAGCTTGATGGCCTCGTCCTTCTTGGACTCGGTGCCCGAAAAGACGACGGTGTCGATGCCCATCTTGGCGAGGAACTGGATGGCGAGGTGGCCCAGACCGCCGATGCCGATCACGCCGGCGCGGTGGTGGGCCGAGATGCCGGCGTGGCGGATGGCGCCGTAGACGGTGGCGCCGCCGCACTGAAGCGGGGCGGCGTCGCGCAGCGAGAGGCCCTCGGGGATGGCGTGGCAAAAGTCGTGGTGGACGACGAAGCGGTCGCCGAAGCTGGCCTGGTCGAGGTCCTTTTGGCCGTACATCTTGTTGTCGTAGCAGAGCGTGTCCCAGCCGCTGGCGCAGAACTTGCAGTGGTTGCAGCTGTCGTGGTTGTAGCCCCAGCCGACGCGGTCGCCCTTTTTGAAGCGGGTGACGTCGGAGCCGACCTGGGAGACGACGCCGACGCCCTCGTGGCCGAGGACCATGTCGGCCTTGAGGAAGTGCAGGTCGGTGCCGCAGAGGCCCGAGTGGGTGATGTCGATGACGACGTCGGTGGGGCGGACTGGCTTGTCGGTGCCCTGGGCCGCGACGACCTTGCCGTCCTTGGAGCCCTTGAAGACGGTGCCGAGGTTGACGGTGTTGCTGGATGCGGACATGGCGGTGGTGGTGATTCGAGATGGAGAGGGAACGAGGGTGGGACGGTGCGGTGTGGATGCGATGGTGGTGGTGGATGGGAGGATCAGGCGGGCCAGGTCGATGGTTATATAGGGCGCGTCGCACGACAGCAGCGGGCGAGCAAGGCGCAAGAAGAAGTCGAGGCCAGGCAGGCCAACATCCACCGTACCGTGCATCATCGCATCGCTTTGGTCGCAGGCACGCCGGCGCGCAGGCAGGACTGGGCGCCGCACACGTGTGTCTGAAGCGTGGCACAGAGTGGCAGGTTGGGTTGACCTCAGCCAGGCCACGGCCACGGCCACGGTCACGGCCACGGCGTTACGGGAGGGGGGCTGAGCGGGTGGAGGCAGGGCGTGCAGCGACGAGATCGAGATTGGGAAACTTGGCGTGCCGTACGCTGAGCCACGGACCGAGAGCAAAGAGGCGAGGCGAGGCCCGTCGCACGACATGTCCTGCTGCGAGCGCTGCCGAAAGAAGGCAGCGACGAAGCCGAAGGAAGCAAGCAAGCGCTTCGGCCGTGTCGCCAGCCAGCTGCGCTGCCCTAGCCTCTTTCCGTCCGACGACGTCGTCGGCTCAACTCAACTCGACTCTCGGGCGCTAGGAAGATTTGCCGGGCATGCATAATGGCTAGACCCTGCTTGCCTGCCTCTCGGGCTCGACTTTTTTCCTTCGCGCCTGGCTGGCTGGCTGGCTGGCTGGCTGGCCTGTCGCCTCGTGGCAGCCTCGAGTTCAGTCGGTGATGCTGGCATGCATGCATGCACCCAAGGCAGGGGGGCCCGCCCACGTCACCGTCACCGCCGAAGCGCCAGATGACACGACCCCCCCTTTGCCTCCCCTCCACCGGCCCGGCCCTACCCGTACCGGTGTCGTACCGTCGTTTGAAATCCACCATCGTTCGACGGCCCGCCCCTCCCATCGACAAACCATCGGGCGTCGTGAACGGACACCGGTGCCGGCTAGAGAGAGAGAGAGAGAGAGAGAGAGAGAGAGAGAGAGAGAGAGAGAGAGAGAGAGAGAGAGAGAGAGAGAGTACGGACGGTAGGTACGGTACGGTACGGTACGGTACGGTACGGTACGGTACGTACGGTACCGTACGGTACCGTACCGTACCGGTACCGGTAC